CTGTAACATGGTACATGTTCACTGCTTCAAGATAGATCACAGTCGAAAACAACTGTATATCACACGCACATTTACAATTAGATGCATGATGTACAATTGGAAAGACAAGCTATAAATGGAATATGGAGTTGTCCATTTTTGTCGTTATTTTCAAAAGCATACAAAGAGTACTCTTTTTCTTGGCCCCCCTCTAAGAGAGCAAAATGAATAAACGAAACACTGCGATTTCTCTATGATGCCTGAGGACCCATTCTAACTCAAGATGTACGACTGTTAATCTACAGTGGACGACCAGAGAAAAGTGACAGGAGGAAAAACAATGTCCCTGTCTATGTGACATCGGAGCAAGTCACCTGGTAGGCTCAGAATTCCACTTTGCTACTGGCAAGAAACACATGATATAGGCATTGCACGCACGCATGCGTGTGGGCCAGTTTCTTCACACGAGGGCTATGTACTCTTGTATCATCCATCGCGTTCGTTCTGGAACCATGTGAAACAGCCTGCACGTGTGTGCAACGGGAGTTGAAACTACAACCAGACTGTGTGCACATACCAGCGGGAAGCATAAACAATGGCCCGTCTATAATAATTGTCATTTTTAACATGTACGCAACAAATTAACCCCCTCCCCAGCATACGGTTTATATGCTCGTGAAAATGATGACAAAAATGGATGACCCCTATAAAGAACTTTATGATGTTAAAGAGGCTCCCTTCAAGAAAGAACAAACAGAAGTAACATTTTCTCTATTCTAGTTGGGGATATCATAGATTTTCAAAGATGACAAGAACAGGGCACTTGTCTCTTGTCTTAAAAACCACAGACTCCAAAAATATGCAGCACTCTCACAATTACGGTACCATGATTTCAAAGTTTGCAACGTTTTGAAACCACTTAGCATAAAAATAACGTTTGCTGATTACCTTGTGCTGTTTGCAGACGGTATCAATCAGGAAGTTGGATCTGACGTTGTCCACATTGGGGACCAGGATGGAGGTGTAGACGGGCACCGAGTCACTGGGGTACAGGTACTCCTGGACCCTGTTGGACCAATGCTCCCATTCACCTGTAGCACACAACACATTCACACGACGTGTGAACATTTCTGTCTCTAGTCTGTTGAACAATTGGTCAAGTATTTCAAGACCCTGAATCTCTCTACTGAACTTTTTTTTTCCTTTTTGGGTTTGAAAGGGCTATCCCATTAGAAGCCCTTTTCATGAGTGTATTTAGGAGGCGGAGAGAAGGAATTCCTAGAAAGACCGAAGGCTAGGAAGGTACTTGGTTTTGACAGCCATCAAAAAGCCTCAGGCACTCTAACACCACAGCAAAAGGAACATCAATTGAGCACGGTGAAACAAGAGATAGGAGGTGTCTTTAATGACACACCCTGATAAATTGCATTCATCAATAATTATCACTCATTGCATTCATTGCAAAATGTACGATAAATGCTCCATGCCAAAACCAGCATAAGAATGAGCCAGTTTTGAGCGTTTCAAGAAGGCAAGGTCTTGCAGGAACAGAGCATGAATGGGAATCATCGTATGGCTATATGCTGGGGCAGACAATCGCGCGTGCGTGCTGCTCATCCCAAATGATCTCCAAGGTGATTCACTTTGGGAATGCATGCACTGTTGGAATATCCAACTGGCTTATTTGTATTATGGCTATGTAGATGTACATCAAAAAATAAAATAACTTCACTCATGCATCATGATGTACGGTTACCGAACAAACCATCCAATGGACCTTTCCCATGAAAAATGTAAATTAAACAGGGCGCTACTACCACTAGTTGGCAAGCATGCTTTTCTCGAAACTAAGTGAAGTTTTCTATGTCCTGAGGTTGGAAAGTAATAATTCCTTGTGTTTAAGTTTTGTACTCATGTCAAACTATAAAAGTACAGAAACAGCGTGTATGTGCTCACAGTTGTGCGCGCATGGAGATTTGTATCGTTACGTCAACTTTGCCAACCAGTGGTAGTAATGCGCATGCACCTGCCTTGTTTACATATCTCATGGAAAAGATCCATTATCAAGCAGTACTTCACTGTATGAATGAGACAGTCTGTGTTTCTTGTTTATCATTTTATGGCTGGATACTGTGACTGTGGTCCAGTGGTGTCTCTAGTGCGGGGGCTGGGGTGGGGGTGGTGGGGCCACTTGCTTTTTTTAAAATAAATAATACTTCGTAGGTGAGCAGGGTTCTAGCTACCGTAGGATAACATTAAAGGGTACGGCATCTGCCTTATGTGCTGGATGGGGAGGTTGACTGGATATTATTTGACACCTGAGGGTGCTGTACAACATTTATTATGTTAAAGTGTTAATGTTATAGGCTCCCATTACCTCATTCAGTCAAAAGCAAAAATTATCAGTTTGAGACTGACCTCTACCCGTTTCTCTACTTTTTTGGGGAGGGGGCATTGCTAAAGGATGGGGCAAATGTCTACTAAACAACAGGATATCTGATCCACATTTCATAACTGCACAATTGTATTTTGCATGTGCTTGTTCTTTGAGATCGAAGCTCCATGCTGCATCCTATTCACACTGTTTGTGAGCAGGAAAGAGATTAATTGGGAATTATCAAATATCAGCACCAAAATGCTCAGAACACGACACCACGAAATAAAAGCAAGGATGTTGAGACTGGGAAGGCTTTTGATTTGTTGTCTTCCCCAACATCATGTAGAATGAATCCCCCCTCCCTCGCCCCCCGACTCCAAAAGCTGGATACCCTGATGCTGTGGTCACCTACCCTGAGCACTGACGACAAACTCAAAGATCGTGTGGCTGCTGCCTTCCTCGATGAGAGGGTACTTGAGTTTACTCCCATGAGCCAGCATGAATTCCTCCATCTTGGCCCTGTCGTCCAACTCCAGCAAGGCTCCCAGACTCCACATGAGAGCAAAGATGAAGAGCTTCTCCAAGTAAGAGGCAGGCAAGACGCTGTGATCGTGCTCGTCCTTGACTGGTATCAGGCCGTCCAGCAGGTCGACTGACTGTGAACAAATTATGAACAGGCTGGTAAAATGCTGTGGTTATGCCATCCTTGTCTAGCGATGAAAATGTGCCACTGGTTCTCCGACGAGTTGATTTTATGGAGGATTCAGGACAGTTTGGAACAAAACGTCATAGAGTTTGTCACATTATCGGTGGCAGGGTCATTCAACAACACCCCACATGCGTCATCAAACTAACCCTAACAGCAGAACGTCTACGAGGTTACAGATTCAAACGTTACTCCAAACAATTTCTTTGTTCTACCCAACAGTCACTTGAATTGCCTCCTAATAGAAATGTGCATGCCAAGGGGAACAGGTGTTGAAGTCTGCCCTCGGACAGCACTTGCTACAGAGTGAGCTTCCCAAATGATGTTGGTGCAGCAAAGTTTTCCTGTACAAGACGCATTACCTGTCTAATGTAGTTGCACTCTAGTATATCCATCTTGGCATGGAGGTTGAGAGAGACGTAACGGTACAGGTCATCAAAGATCTTGTCATACAGGTCCCTGAGTACAGCTGCTTCGCCGGGTGGTTGCCCTCGAAGCCAGCCCTACAATGCAGAACAAAACAAAGATTACCAACTAGAGTTTTTCCAGCTGTATAAAATAAGACTGCGCATATCATACAGCCGATTTAAACCTAAATATCAAAATTCAAATCAACAGTACATAATTTTGAACTTACTAAGTTTTAATAGAAAGTAGGTTTGCGGTAGCACCATGGATGTATCTCTTTTGTGAGTATTTGCGGTTCTGAAAAGAACCAGTGGTACTGCTCTGCTCGTCATCATTTTCCTGATGTTTCAAAGTGCATGCCTGGTTTTTATCACATGCAGGCTTCCTGCAACTAAAGGCCAATTAAATTTCAAGACTTTTCTATGACCAATTCATGAAAATCTATGACCCAATAATGCCACTTTTAAAGTTGCGAATAAATCATGCATTTTATGCACTTATTTCCGATAATAGAAATCACACAAAATGTTTGAAAAATTCCACGACTTTTCCATGACATTAGTTATTTGTACAAACTTCCATGACTTTTTCCAGGCCTGGAAAGCAACAACTTTTCCAGGCTGCAGGAACCCCAGCATAATACCAGTTACTAAAGAGTAGATTGTACCAACCTCTAGAATGGGTTTCCAATCCAGCGCTGAGCTGCTCATGTACACCATGCCGTTCCTGGACACGGTAGCTGGAGAGGCATTGTCAATGTTGTGGACCTCAAAGACGATCTTGCAGTTGGGGGACATGGGGATGCGGTCGCCGTTGGCCAGGGTCAGGGTCTTGTTGTCGTCCAGGACGCTGTTGAGGTTCTCGATCCAGATGGCGTCCACTGGGCCATCTAACACAATCCAGATGTGCTCGCCTGTGGGAGCAAAGCGATGCAATCATTAATCGCTGAGCAAGTGCACAATTGCATTCAATTTTGTACCAACATTCAACTAAAGTCACTGGAACAGGTCTTTCCACCACCAAGGTGCTCGCAAGTTGACCAAATGCAGACACCTTACATTTAAGAATGCACACGGCATGCATGAGTTAGACTCCACATGCACAGCTAGACACTGCCACACCGTCTTTTTTATTTGAACAATCTCAAATTCTCAGTTGAAAGGCTCCAAACTCTGGGGTAGGGGAACATCTCAAAGTCGCTCAGGCCAATGATGTCCAAACAAGAACACTGCTTGCTCAAATCGAAAGCACCTGCTGGTCCCTTCTCAGAGCAGAGGATGGTCCTGAATGTCTGCTGTAAATGTCTGTGCACACTAGCAGTGTCCCTAGAAAGAATACAGTGCATCCCCACCAGGAACACGCAGTATTTGGAAAAGAGACGTTCCAGAGGGAAAAGTGTCAAGCTGACTTTTGAGATGCTTCCTATTAGGTCAACAATTTCAATCCAACACTTGCTACACCCTGAACCCAAGTTCAGATCAAACATTATGAGAAAGCAGAGCAGTATAGCCTTGGATAATGTTCAGGATAGGCCCGAGGAGCAACGAGTTTCATATCACTGCGATCAGCTTCAAATCACTGTTAAGGACGATCAGTGTTAAAGTGTACAATGGCTCTTGATAAGTCTGAATGCTGACAGATAGTGCGCATCACGCATTGCTCTACCTTTCTTTGCTTTGAGCGTCTTCCTCCACAGGGTGGAGAAGATCCCATCTGTCCAGTCGTTGGTGGCCACGTCCAGCCGGCCAAACATCTGCGGTGCCGTGATGGCCTTGGGGTTCATGCGCATCTCCTTGTGCGGGTTCCCGCAGTCCCCCATGGCCTTCATCAGGACGTGGATGCAGACGCTCTTGCCGGCGCCGCTGGGGCCCAGGGTCATCATGCCATGACGCACGCGCTGGGTCTCGAACAGCTGTGGAATGACGATTGTGTTCTGGTCAAGTATTTCACGAGGGCTTCAGAGGTACTCACCAGTCTTCACAAACACAAGTAAGCTTTGAGGTTCACTGTTTGCGGTGGAAGTAATTGTGACAGTACTTGCCGTGACTAGTGAATAACAGTTACAGCCTTAGGCAAAGAGACCTAGGATTTGTGCACATTCAACTGAAAATTAGCAATGCATACTACACACCCAGCATATGCATAAACATGTGTACGTTCGTTCTTTGTCATCACAAGTAGGCAAACAAGCATTAACCTCTACATCCAATGTCTGCACAAGCAAGACTCAGATACAGTCTACTGGTGGAACTGTATTTTAATAACCAAATATTTTCCCTCACCAAGGAAACAAAATTAATGCCAAAATTTCTAAAAAGACTTACGGGAGTAACTGCATGGGTTGAACAAGAACTCGCACCTTTCTGCTTGCTACAGCCCACGTCTTACCCATTCGACTATGGCGCAAACTGCAGTGCGAACTAGCTAGTTTAAATTTGATATAGCAGTGGGTACCACAGTCAATGAAAGTTGACTGCAAGTTCTACATACCTGTACAACTTTAAGGTTCCAAGCGGGATGGTTAATGACTCCCATGGCATCCACTTGATTGGCCACGGCAACCTGTAACTCCTCATAGGTCGCATTGTCCAACTGAATGCCTGGGAAAAGATCGCTGATCAAGCTCAGGAACAGAGGCTCATCCTCATCAACCTTGCGGCAAGTGACAAAGACAAATATCGTATCAGAATTATATAATTACTGTATATCAGAGGGCCAAGGTCATTGGACAGTTGGAAATAGAAACGTCCAATGCCACACCAGCCCAACATGTTCCATGCGGCAGAGCTGGCCTATGCCAAAGCATGTACTGGCCATTCCAAATGACTTCATTTTGAGCATACATGTGCTGTTGAGCCCTTGCATGGTAGCCATCTTGCAGGGCAGTTCTTTTGTTCCACGGGGAAACCTCCCTCGTGCATACCCGGTGGAGCAAAAGCACTGGCCCGCAAGATGGCAGCTATGCAATCCCTCTATTCCATTGCTGCATTGGCTTTAATATCTGTAGGCCACCCATAACCAAATGTGAAGCCAGCCCACACGATCTTTTCAGAGCCGAATAGCAACCATGCACCAGGACAGAAGAGTGAAAGACCCCAGGAACAACTACAGCAGCATTTCAACCACTAAAATAATATGCCGTCCTCTTGGATATTATTTCCACTTTATGCTTCCAGTTCCTACAAGTAGGTAGATGTTTTCATTTCTCTTCCAGTAGAAATGCTCCAAAGGTTACGCCCAAAAGTCCTACTCTGGCAATGAAATTAAAGTGCTCGTCTACAGCACAGATAAATCTCCCCCAGTACGTGTGCCTCACCAGTTTGGACAGGTTCATGTCCCGGAGGACTCTCATGACGATGGTGGACTCGCTGTCTTCAGGCCGAGCTCTCTTGTTGGCTCCCAGAGTGCGAAGCACTGACAGGATGTTCCTCAGACCAAAGTCGTAGTGCACCTGCACGTATGAGAAACAAATGGCTGATCGCCGTCACTGCAAGACAGTTACTTCAATGCCAGATGCCTCTTTAAGACATAGTGTATTTGTGTTGAAGTTGGCACGGCATTCTCCATCAGGCCACCAAATCCAAATCAGAGAAAAACAGAGTTATCTATTACAACTGCCTTTGAGCGGTATTTGGACATGTGAGAATTCTGACATTTGAGTCTGTAAGTCAAACCAGTGGCACAGCAGTTCTACATGAGCGCATGGGAGAAGAAATTCATTACAGGCAAATTTGACCAACCAATTACAGGCATACTGTCACAAAATCTTCTCGAGCCAAACATTATCCCTGACACTCCTCAATCCTTCACCTGTTGGAGGACTGAGGACTGTTAGGGTCATGCGTACTTCTTGAATGGTGGTACTCGTGCTCTTTTAGCAAAATTACAAAGAAAATCAGGCAGCTTGCGGTCACTATTATCATAAGATAATTTTGAGAACGCAACATGATATATTCAGTCAGAATGGACCAACCACTCAAGCATTTTCAATTTCAAAAGCTCGCTGGTTCAGAAGTTAAAATCATGTGCAGGACACGACAATGCCATTACATGAAAGCCGCACTGTGATCTCTCGTTACCTGTTTGGTGAGCTGTTCCTCGCACAGCTTGTAGAGGGTGTAGAATTTCTGGGCAAGGAGTACGTTTTCCTGGAAGCCGCAGCTGGCTAGCTTGACCCTCATGATGATCTGACGGTCGGGGACCATCATGGCCACGCTGCGGAACTGGATCTTGAGATTCTCCGGCAACTCCTGCCGCCCAGCATAGCCGGGGTTCTACGAGGGATTACAAATGCTTAATTTCCATGGTTTGAAGGTTCGCAGGGTGGACGTAGTAACAGGATGAAAGTGTGCGGCAGTGGCATTATCAGTTTTGTGAGTGCGGTCCTGACACAGTGGTGGACTCTACATTTTGGACAGTGAGCTCTATCTGTCATCAGGACATCTGACACGTTGAGTCCACTAGTGTTTTCAGAACCCCACTCACTTACAACGGAGATACATGGTGCTACTGTGAACCATCGTCTGACAAAAATGCTGTGGTTAGACAATTTCTGAATGAGGCCGAGTTATAATGAGTTCTTTTTGGAGCCAAATCAAAGTCTACGGTTTTTATCAGGATATTTTGTGATTTAACTCGTGGCCGTTTCATTCAGAGGGAAGGAAAGATGCAGTAAGTTGACACAGTGCTGTTGGCTTGTCGTGATTAGTATCTGAAATGGATGCAAAAATTAGGTAATGACTTGCAGCAACGTAGCTTTTACTTCAACACAAAACTGAAGACTGAGATTCAAATATGCAATCTGTGAAAAAAACATCTCAGCAACGAATCCCTTTGTGGGTGGTTTTTATCCTTTCTACATGCTTTTCTTCAGGAGCAGTAATGTAAACCATTCATAACAGGATTATTTAACACCCCAGTAGTCAACAGTTACTTTTGTTACATCGTGCTAACTAGTCCAACTGATAAATGGTTATAAATAGTCTATTCTGTGGTAACTACAGACACTCCTGTTGGACGGAAGCAGCTGCCGTTCTCTGCCTCAAGGCTGTGAGCACATGCCAGCCACGCGCAGTTTATTATCATGACAAGGTCGGCTGACGAAATACAATTTTTTTTTCAGACTGGCCATGTGGCCATTTCTGACTGCCTATGACAGTATTCAAGGACACAACATGAGTTTTCTAATCCTGGCATCTGCTTCCCCCTCCCCTCCCCCCTTTGACTCACCATGGTCAGGAAGAGACCAAACTCTGGATTGAGAGACACCACGTCACCGTCTGAGAAGATAAACTCGCTCTTCCTCTCCTTCTTGGCAATCAGGACGATGGCAATCTGCTGGGCGGCCACGGACAGGACGGGCAGCTCGATACGGTTGAACTCATCAAAGCAGCCCCAGCTGCCAGACTGCGCAAGGCCTGAGGGGGGGGATTAATACGCCAATCACCCAAGTTTACCATTTAGGAATGAGTGGTACAAGTATATGCCCTAAGGTCAAATTTCCGGCTTGTGGGTCAATATCCTTAAGTATATTATATATAACGGGTTTGCCCTTACCCAACGTATATTAATTTATATTAATAATAATTAACATCTCCCCAACGCAAAAAATACATCTTGAAAATCCTTAAGTATAGCAATATTACATTGGCTAAGACCTTTCAAAGACAATGGACATCAACCAAGTGAGATGAGGGTGAATTAATGAATGGGAGAAATTCTTTGAATGGTCATCATATCCCATGCAGTAACAGGAAGGGGTTTGACAAGACTATTGTGAAACGATGCCAGAGTAAAGAAGCTGCATAATGTCGGCCATTTTGGCAGTTAGCGCTCCTTTTGATTTGAATTCTCTGGGGATGGTTCAGTAACATTGTGAATTTCCTCACATGATTGCCATTTTACTCATTACATGTCCTTCCCAAATCAGTCTGTGCGCTTACCATTTTGTCTAAATGCACTTCTCTGTAATGTACATCTGGTGTCGACAAAGCATATTGCTTTTTTTTTCAATGGAATTTAGTTTCTTTTTATAAGCAAAATTCCAGCAACAGTCATTCACAAAAAAATCATACCTGGCACTTTAGAAACAAAAACAAAATCAATCTTAATCCGCCTTAATGCCAACTCCTTTAATGGCATAATAACATTACATTCCTTCCCACACTTGCAGCAGCGAGTTTGCCTGCACCAATCTGTTTCTTACCTTTGTAGATCCGTCCCAGCCCCCTGTAGTCCATCTGGTCCGAGCAGTTGAAGACCACCACATACTTGCCCAGGGCTTTGCCCATGTCCTTGGTGGTCTCCGTCTTGCCTGTGCCTGCAGGGCCTGCCGGAGCCCCTCCCATACTCATGCCCAGAGCCTGGGCCAAGGTGATGTAGCACCTGCCGATCAAAGCCACATTGAATGTACATAAAAAGGAACTTCTTGTCCAGAGACATTGCTTTGATAAAACAAAAAGACAATCACTGCCTCCGGTTAGTAGCTGGTGAACCAGCAGTCCACATTTCTCAAAGGCCCTTGGCACTCTAAAGTCGGCTGGAAGAAGGTAATCAGCCTTGGGCACCACCAAGGGTTAACCCTACAAGAGCTGGGCTCTTTTGGACCATTGCACAGTGGAGTGGGGAGGTGATTTGCCCCTTCCCGGGATCTTGACTGTCCCATACTCAATCTTTTTTGTAAAGACAATCGCAGTGGGCGCACCTGTGAAGTTTCAATTCCATCTGATCTAGACTTCTGTTGTCATTGATAAGTTCCTGCCCTTACACATGCGGGACCATGTGCGTTGTGCATGTCAGTCGGAAAAGTTAACCATTTGGGCTGACTCTCTAAGAAAACTTGGTGTTTTGCAAGAACGGTACATCGGATTTTCATCACTGGAAAATTCAACAGGCTCAGAATGAAAAGAACAAATGCACTGAGATGTTGTGGAGTTTTGAATTTTACACCTCCCCCCTCTTTTAGATTTAATCACGCACCTGTCAGTGAGTGGTGTGATAACCAGTCTGTCGGTGCAGCCCAGGAACTCGTTCTGATAGATGAAGTCCACATCAGTGATGGAAACGATGCACTGGTCGGTGTCCTCCTTGAAGTAGAACCTGGCCTGCTTCAGCCACTCAAAGTCGGTGGGGGACCGGATGTGCTGGATGGTCTGTGATGAACAAAACAAGGGAAGAGTTTCCAACTGCAGTTTATCTGAGACTTTCCACTAGAAATGGTCTATCCTCTCTCGATAATCCCACACTGCCATATCTCTATGGTCCAATAAAGAAAAAAGATTCTAGAGAGAGGAGACCAGTAATTGATAAACCTGGCTGAAAGTTTCAGAGGAACTAAAGAGCAAAGAAGCAACTGTGAAAAATCCTAAAATAATCCAACATGATGACTCCATCACTCCAATCAACAGATAAAAGTCAATAGAAAAATCATAACCCAATACTTAAAATCTAGAGAGAATTTCGTTACTATTCCCAGTCATTGAGCCACCAACTTAGATTAAGAGTCATGAGGATAGTCTGACATTTTACATTTTCATCACAGAGAGCTTTTTCTCCTTTTCATGTTTCTATGCCACACAGATTGTTACTCTGTTATCCATAGCACATGATTATTCACTCCAAAACAACTCTGGTCACTTTTAACTGATTTTGTGCAGTTGGCTCACAATGATCACTTTCGACATTGGAACGCACCAAATCATTGAAGATATCCCTCTGATGCACGTGAATGGTAACCAGCGTCTCGTACTTGACTCGTTCCATCTTGGTCAGGTCGTGCGTGGTCTGCTCAATCAGCGTGTTCAGCAGGTCCAGGAACTTGACGTTGGTGACTTGCATGATCTTCTTGTCCGACCTGGCCACGGTCAGGGCGTCCTCGGCGTCCCGGGTCCATAGCATCTGGATGCCCAGCAGACCGACCTTAAAGACGATTGGTAAAATTGGAAGCCATTAACACATGGCCATCACTGATGCGATATCAATGCTAGTGTTGCAGGTCCAAAATTGCCTGGTACTCCAACCTAGGGCAATGCAAGATTGGTTGAATCAGACTCTGTGGTAGACAGGGCTGCATTTGATGCAACACAGGTTCCATAATATCTCCAGCATAATGTCTGGCAAATAAACCTTGAAAGATGAGCACTGGATTAAGGTGACCATAATCTGGATAGGTAGAACAGGTGGAATATGCCAACTCGGTGTGATGCAAATACAGATGAAATAGGCTGTGATAAAAGACATGGCACCAATTAATACAGCATGACCAGTGTCACGGAATCACAACATCTGAATGCCTACCTAGCAAAAGTGTTTTTATTGGCCAGTAGCCAGTTTTTCGATCCTCAACAGCCAATAGTTATCGAGTTTACGAGGGCGCTCAGTGCACAACCGGTGTGCCTTAAGATTAAATTTTATGCTGCGTGGTAACAGCGTGCGTACAGTATGACTGTGGGGCTCCATTGAAGCGACTTCGCGCAGGAGATTCTCTCAACGTGTCAGACAATAATCGTGTGCAAACACTCTCATGATCACCGCGAAAGATTAGCTAACGTGCATATCGTGCTCACACAGGCACACGCCTTATGTGCATGGTTGCACTATCAACTTGATAATTTCAGGTTTAAACAATTCAGTCATTCATTTTCTGTTTTGGGTGAATCCAGCTAACTGGAGAAGTGATGCACCAGAACGTGAGACTGAATCTCTCCCAGCTTGCGCCAGTCATTTTGCAACAACACTGGAGGCATCGGGCTTCAGTGAGGAATTCTGTTCTATTTGTTGCCATTAAAGATAAGTTGTTGCACTTGTAATACTGAAAATAAAAAACTTGTCAGACATGATGAGACTTTATTTTGACAGGGATTTTTTTTAATTGAAAAAGAATTTCTTTTTTCAAAGAAAACACTAGTGTGATAAGCATTTCAGTTTGAGAGAAACCAAATATAATCTAACGTTTCTAACATACTAGAACTGATTAAAATGAACCATGACAACAGATGGTATCAAACTGGACAGTGAAAGAACTGAATTTACCCTGTTTTTGTACTTAAACATTAGGTTTATTTTAAGGAGAGCGATTTGCTCTCCTGACCGATTTTAGGTGAACGGTTTACAGCTCTCCTGGATTTTCTAGAAATGAAGGACTGCAATACAAAGAATCCCAGATATCCTCCAGCGGGAACAACCACAAAGGCGAACCACTCAACTCATCAGCTTGTCACTTTCTAAGCAATGATGACTCTTTTCGAGACTCACCTGAGCGATGTAGTTATTGAGGAATCCTAGCAGCTCAAAGGAGGAGTCGTTGATGACCCTGTGGGCCTCTCTGATGACAGAGTGTAGGGACTTCTGCTGCATGATGAGTAGCTCTCCTAACCACATCTCCACATTGCCCTTCGCAATGACTGGCTGATCCAACTGCAAGGAAGTATACACTCAGCAGTCACTGGCATGTACAGGTCTTTGTTCAGTTTTCTGTAAATTCATCCTGTTTATTCTGCAGTGCATAACTGTTGTCAAGACCATCACAAGACCATATAAAATGATCAGGACAAGACTGTACATACCACACCACAAGACCAGACACAAGACCAGGCAAAATGATCAGGACAAGACTGTACATACCACACCACAAGACCAGACACAAGACCACTCATAATTTCTTTAGTAACTGACAGATTAAGACCCACCACTTCCCGCAAGCAAAACCAGGGGGGATAGTTAATCATGACATATGATGCTTGCAAGCCAACAACTGGAAGATGTACTCACTGGAACCACCTCTCCTTCCTTGGAAATGCAGGAGACGATGCGATCGTAATCCTTCTCATGGAACTCAACCTCATTCACGTTCTCAAACACGCCAAGCAGATGAGCCTGTGCAAACGGATAACAACATTTCTGTCCTCAACAAATGCAATTAAGGCTTGAAATACCAATGCATACAACAGCACAACTGAAAGTTTGGCTTCTTAGAGTAGCAGGGTCACAGCAATGCCCACAAATCAAGGCCAGCTGAGTTGCTTGATAGTATATAACGGCCATGATGCCGGACATCAAAAGGTACACCATTGAATACTGATCCTTTTTATTTACAAAAATTGCCTACATGCACACCCAATTCACAACAATGTCACACTTGGCTGGCAACAGCTTCCTTTTTGATCAAAATTTACATTTGTCCTATTAAAACTATATAGGAAAGTTATTAAGGCCTATGATTTGAAATTTTCAATTTTTAAAATGTAAACCAAACCACAATTTGACCACTTAAAATGGTCAGGAGAGTTTGGTAATATATACATAAAATTTCTGTTTAGAAGCTAGTTTCAGTATTCATTATTTAACGTTTTACTCGCTGTTTGAGATTTTTTCCAACACTCTGAGAAGTATATGTAGTCTCCTGTTGCTGTACTTAAGGCCAGCCTAAGGCCATGTCCAAAACAAGCTTCCAGAGCTTCGGCTAGGTCAATTGTCTGTGCGTCTCCGCGTGTATGCAATGGAGTGAAGACCTAGACCTAGCTCTAGACAACAGATTTGGATGTAGCCTCTGTTTAGGCAGACAAAAACTGCAACAGCAAATGGCTCTTATTATACTTTGCAGACTCTGCATCTTGCAAACAGAGGTTTGACTTCTCAAAGTGGGTTAAAGCCCTACCTGGATTGTGTGCGAGTCGCTGGCCTGACCCAGAATCTCCAGCAGTGCGGGGTCAGACACAAAGAAGAAGCGGGGAAAGACGAGTCGCTTCTTCTCCAAGTACCTGTCAGGTTGAACACAGTATAGTTGAATTAAATCAATCATTGCATAATTGTTGCAAGGTGGAATTGAAAAAAAGGAAAGCAAAGAAGTAAAAGTTCAAGTTTAGAGAATAGTTTACTCATGGACAGAACAGAAAAGATTTTGCTTCTTGTCTATGCAAGGCCGTGTTTGTGTCAACTGATATTTTGGCTTCAAAATGTTAAAAGTATGTGACTTCAAAAGGAAAAGAACGTGATGCATGAAGTAAAATGAAATTTGTTAAACATTTCTTTTTGTTATTAATTTGTGCCTGTCAACAGAAATCCAGATAATATTTATAAAGAAAGACAACTGAGATTGCAGAAAGCAATGGCTTTGATGTTACCCTTTGATGAAAACGCAAAGGGGTGAATTAAAAGGAGCTTAAAATTTTGAAATTACCATCAGCGAGACATGTTGATTACAGTATATCAATTATGCCAGCTAGTCACATGACCTATAGTGGGAATTGAATATCAAAAAACACGGCACACACCGAAAGCAAAGTGTTTCATAAGTATAATTTACAGCAGATAAAGTCGACGTTAGGTACCATACTCAGACTACTAATGTGCTGTACCATAACTTGGCTGTGGGGTTGATACCCACTATAGGTCATGTGATAAAACTGGCACAATCGGTCTATATGACAGCTCTAAATTAAGGAGACAGTTTTTGTTTTCTAGACCTGAATAAATTAACAGCGGTTAGAGCCAGCAGCTGTACTCAACAGTGATAATTGAGAGGATTGTGTGATTACTGACAGCAAAAGAGGCAACACAGCTGACACCACCACTTGTACTTAAGTCCGCCTCATCAACGCTCTGCAAGTCATTCAGTCTCAAGCCAAGGCACAAGTTACTCAAACGACACCCGACAAAGGCACTGCACTTGTGACTGGTCTTGGGAAAGGATTTGCGACTGGACTTGTGAAGGGTCCTGGACTCAACTACACCACTGGCTGACTGAACAAGCCAAGAACGGTAAACGAGGAGTGGTAATTTGAGTTTCTCACCCGGTGAGGGACTTCTGGCAGATTTCCAGTTGTTCCAACAGGTGCGGCAGCAGCTGTCCCAGGGTCTCGTCCCCGACGCAGCACTGGACCACGTTATCCACCTCGTGGGCACGCTGCATGATCTTCACCCACGACTTGTCAATGTTGCCAAACCTCTTGGCTTCCTACAAATGCCCAGAAAAAAAATTCAACACCTAAAATAACTCCTCCATGCCATCAACTTCTGAACAGTAAACATTATTGATAACTTCACATTTCAATTTTGGAATGTCCCTTTGATTTGTCTTGTATGTTCACGTACACTTTCCTTGGTCATAAAGTTTACATAAAGTCTAATTATCATTATAGCCAACTCTCATTATAGAAAACACTACAGGGTGTCCCAGAAAAAAACAAACCCTGAGGAAAGGGGTTAATATGCCCAAACCATGAGATATGATTATAATGAATAAGGATCTCTGAAAAGTAGAAGCAGTATTCTTTCTAATGATACCTTGATGGTATCCCTCCTATCATGAATGAATGAACACCATTGTCTTGAAAAAGGCGCATCCGAACTCAGTTGTAACACTTTGGATAAACCAGTGAACGAGGTTGTCCTGGTGAACTCGTACCCCAGTCAACTCATACCCCAGTCAACTCATACCCCAGTCAACTCATACCCCAGTCAACTCGTACCACAGTCAACTCACACCCAGGTCAACTCGTACCCCAGTCAACTCCTAACCTGTCATGTATAGTTTAATTATCATTATAGCTGATTCTCATTATAAAGAACACTATTATAAAAAAACCCTCAAAATAAAGAGCAACTTCTGAGAATCCCAACTTCTTGACATAAGCTCAGTGCTGAAAGGTCCTTACAGCAAAAATGTAAGGTTTGAAAAATGCTCCGAGGGCCAATCTGAGCATCCAAGAAATATTGCATTGAAACAGACTACATTTGCTTTACTGTAGGCTTAATGGTTAGTCGGGTGGCTTTCCTTCTCCAAAACAAAACTCCTAGGCTCCTCCATTTTCCTTCTAAAACACCCTCTCAGTCGTGGTGAAGAGCCTCCTGATTTTGCTTTCTAAAACTATCCTCCTAACCGCGATGAGTTGTTTTGTATAAACTTTAATCCGTCTGAATGGGCTTATTCGGGTTCTCCCTTGCCTAACAACATCTTGTCCCATTTCTTGCCGAGATCGACAAAGTCTGAATGGTCTTATCCATATACAGTGGTCTTTCTCATAATGGCATACTACTATAGATGGTATGAATCTCTTTCAATAGCTTACAACATTTGACATATCGCGAGATATGTCTTAGGCTGAGTAGGACCTTATGTCCACTCTCAAATAAACAAATATTGCATTGAAACAGACTAGGCCTACATTTGCATTACTTTTATTTATTATTCAATTAGTCTGGGACCACTGTATCTAAATTTCAACAAATTGTGTCGCCCGATTTCACGTTTAAACCAATGTTTCAATAAGTAAGTTTCCATGCAATTATCAATAAGGACTTTTTAGCACTGACACAACGTTGAATACTTGCGTTTTCTTTGTTTTTCAACTCCTTTAAAAAGTTCTGGTTGTGGCAAAGTAATTTTCTGGTCCTTCAACTTTGTTATAACAAGAGTTGACGGTATTTGGAATCTTGCCAGCATGCACCAATAGTATGTACATGTACCTTGCTCAACACTCTTTCCTTCCACCAAAATCATCCTCGTCACAATACAAAGCTATTTTCATGGACATTTTTAAGTATTTATCCAAACTTTCAGGCCCAATTCACTTCGGCCACACGTGGGTGTTTGCACCAATTCCCTCCCTGTTCATGGTGTGTGCATTTTGCCCCAGATTCTACTGTATTTGGGGGGGAGGGTGCCCCCCAATTTTTTTGACTGAGGGGCATGCCACCCTCATTCTTGGCAGGTCCTACAATGGGGCAGGGCTTCATGGATCAGTCCTAATGGCCGATGCCTGAAAGTCTCACAACCGCCTCCCCCCACTTTAAGAACATTGTCCCATTGCCACTGCCAGTTACCTGTGGCAGCTGCTTGGCGATATCGCCCCCAACAAACACCGCCTCCAGGTAAACCCACAAGTTCTGCACCGTCAGCCAGTTCTCTATGATGTCAGAGGAGTTGGACAGCTTCTGCACCCACAGCTGAATGTCCTTCTTGAACGGTGCATTGTACCTGGGCAGATTGCGGTAAATTGAGAAGAAAAGAATTTATTTCTACCATCCACCGGTGTACAGGCCAGGACTGCACTCAAGTCAATCTTAATCAGTCGTTCCGAAAGTCCAGTCCTACATGTATGTCTGGTTACAAGTAACAGAATGAACTATTTTCAAGATGTATAATGTATATTTTTCAAGATGTATAATTATAAAAAGAATGAACTATGACAAGAGAACTGCACTTGCTATGGATCATTTGAACAGCTTGTGACATTGCATGAGACTGGATGGCTGTGACGGACTCGTACGAGGGCTTCTCGACTTAACTTGAGCTTAGTCTTTGGAATGGAGCTTCAAGCAGCAACAGCTACAATATGCAAACAAATTGGGCAAATTACCACGTGAGGTATCTGCGCTACATCTGGTCCCTAAAATGCTGACCAATCAGCAGGCATCTGACTAAAATGAGAGACATCCCGTAACTTCCAACCAATTGACAACTTTCATCTTGATTCAGACCAAAAATTCTGATCAGCTGTAGCGTAAAGAAACTCATAATTTGCATGAACACATTTGTTGGAGCAGCCTCCAAAAAACGTATAAAGCTATGACTCTCACTAGCAACAGTTAGGCAGTGAAAAATTAAAAGAAATCTTTGTCCTCTTCAATGTCACTGTTGGCTACTTCACATTGGTTTGGTAATAGATAGCAATTTTCGTTGCATCTCTGTTGATGAGTTTTCTTACCTCTGGATGCATTTCCTCAGAGAATTTATAATCACACAAGAAAACCTCATTGAATCACTGCCGTATCCTTATTAACCTGGATGACGGTTTGGCTCCAGAATTGTTCTACGGACACCTTACCTATTACTGAGCAGGGAGCCCAGGACCATGAGACTGTCTTCCATCAGGGCCACCGTCTCCATGGTCTCTCCACCCTTCAGTAACAACTCCCCGCGATTCTTGAAGTTGGCGAAGAACAGCGTCTGGGAGGTCCACTCGGCCACCACCTGGGCCAGCTTGGCCTCGATGTCCTTCTCCTTGACAGCCGAGATGCAGATATCCTGAGGGATGCAGACAGATGTGAAAATGTTGGTTGATTGTCCCCACTGGTAGCCGCCAATGAAGTTGTTGGAAGGAGGGGGGCTTTCTAAGGAATAATCTAAATCAACTGGCAACAGCCTGGACTAGCGCACTTGTCCTTGAGAGGTTGCATCAACTCTGACGATCCCAAACCAGCCAAAGTCCAACACCAGGGTTTGTTGGAATCTGTTAAGATGAGTACTATTTACATACCGGTATACCGGCTGTGTTTCATGCGGGAGTAGGTGTACTACAAATGAACAGAGTCCAACCATTTATGTGCACAGTTTACTGTATGGTTTTGCGATTTGCAAGGATGTGGAAGGTCTGCTGGTAAATAGGGAGTTAGGGTTAATGCATGACGCTGTGTTGCACTCACGCATTACACGTAATTTATTCACTGCCCTCACTTATACAGTGTGGCCAGGGCATGATTAACCCAAACAGCCCTCCAACAGGTGAAGGATTGAGGAGTGTTAGGGTTAAGGTTACAGTAGAAAACGTGGTTGCGGCAGATAGTCTTTGACTTCCACTGACAGTTGTATTCTTTCTAGCCGCAGTAGAAACTTTGATCATGGAATATTTCTTGCAATCGTGACTATTTCCAATGATGTATTTTCAATGTAGATGTGCTACATCTGACTGGGACCGGCCAGCAGACCCTGGCAAGCTCGGTGGTCGAGTGGTTAAAACTCTGCACTTGTAAGCCGAAGGTTTTCGGTTCGAGTGCCATCCGAGTAAGCTTGTGAATTTTTTTGCGAGCTCTCAGACAACACTAAGCAAATAGTGTTATGAACATTCCGCATACATATGTAGGCTGGTGCAAGGTAAAAACCCTCACTAAAATGAATAAATAACTTTAATTGACTAGATCCCTCAAAATAAGTCTTGAGACCTTAATATCAGTAATTTTGTTGTAGTTTGCCAAACATACAGAGTGCTTAGTTTGAAGGCTTCACTCGGTTTGCCATTATCAACAAAAATGCACTTATGCAGGTGAAAAATGAGAGTTCTCCGCAAAATACTGAACTGGGTAAGAGGGAATAAAGCCAGAGTGCAGAGGCATTTGATGGTAAATGTGCAAAGGTACGATTACAAAATAAATGTTGGACTTCAGACACTCCCAGTTGTGTAAAAGTTAAGTTTAAGGAGAAACTTGGCCGAGTACTTTTGTCCTAAAAAGTTAATTTTAATCAAACAGTGATAGTATGAAGTCATCATGTTACTTTGTAATCTTACATTTATGCATGTACCATCAAATGCCGATGTGCTTCAGCTTTGTCCCCTCCTAACTAGTTAAATATTCGGTAGAGAACTTGGTTCTCAAAAAGAACTCGACTACATCACTGGAGTTTCTACGGATCTGCATGTCACTCAGTCAAAACTATGCTGAACCCAACAACGTTATGCAGGATTTCAATGGTCCCTAGAGGGTTAGGGTTAACTTCAAACTCATTTTATTTGGCCTGGGTCACAATTTTAAACTTATGAGCACAGAACAATGAGGTTGTTGGAAAAGAGGACACCGCATGAGCATGGGTGTGTACAACAATAATGGCTCTGTAACTTTGTTCAGTGAACAAATTTCTGCAGTTCTACTGTTAAGATTTCATGTACACCTGTGGTCAAAAATTACTTAAACTTCAACTGAAAGAATTTAATTCCAATTTTCAAGGTCATGTTTTTTCTTGAAAACCATATTTGTTTCCTATATCTGACCAAACAGAACATTTCTTCTGCTATGTGCTAGCTGACCAGCTGCAGAAAAAGAACAGTTGCAAAACATAGGCCAACTCTTGGACTTTCCAGTAAAATTTCAACCCAAACTGTATGCACAAGCTCCTCAGAACTTTACCTCGATATCCTCTTTGTGGGGCAGGAGAGGGGCCTCCATGATATTGCGCAGGCAGAAGGTGTCTGACTCAATGTCAAACTGGTGGCCAGTGACGCTGGCGATGCGGTCCCAGTGCCGCTGCTTCATGGCCTTGTTGGCCATCAGCTCCAGCAGTGGGCAGGTCTCGTTGAAGTCGTCAATCTTCTGCTTCAGGTCCAGGAAGGCCTGCCACTCTTTCAGCCCCTTGGGCAGCTTCCGACACCTTTAAGGGACACAAATGCTACCGTTATATGTCTTTCAGGGGGGGTGGGGGACGATGAACAGTGACAAGATACATCCTTACTCCAAACGCTCGTTCACCAGCAAAAACCAGACGGGTTAGTTGGAAGTTTTTCCAACATACAAGCTGAGACCATCTTTTAGATTCTGTGATTCGAACAGAAATTAGTCAGGTGTGTTCAGCTTGTTCTGGTCCACAGGCGCGAATGTGAGAAAGCACACAATGTCTTCCCTCCAAAGTGATGCCTGCACACCTCATTTCTTGTTTCTGTTGGCACTTTCATTCGTGGCTATTCGTTCTCTAAGCACATGTAAGGAACCAAACCTGCTGCAGCATAAAACACACAGCTCTCACCCTCTGTTTGACCCAAAATAGCAAACCCAATTCACTTGCAAGTGCTGAGAAAGTCAGGTTCCCAGCACTGTGGTATTTTCTCTGTCCTTTACACTGTGACGCAGGTTCAAGTCCCCACTTGTGCATCATATGAAAGACTCATTTTGCAATCTCTCCCTGTCTCCACAGATTTTCCAAAAGACGACCCATCCCGATTAGTCGGCGCTGCAGATGACAGTCGTGCATGTTTCTACAGGATGTGGTATGAATGCCTTGCTGCTAAGCGGCCCAAACCAACTCTCTTTCAAATCATTGTACAGTTCTCGTAGGAATGAAAAACCTTCAAAATAAACTACAAACGATGGCTTTGCGGAACACCGTCCTTTCAACATGTACTGCACACTTTATTTCCCAAGGGGTTGACACTCCAGAATATTTCATATTTTCAACATGACCAACCTGTTTTGGAAGTCCAGCAGTTCATTGTTGATCTTCTCGATGTCCACCTCGGTCCATAGTATGTCGTAGTAGCCATTGATGCCGTCGATGACGGCATTGTACAGCCCATACAGCTTCTGTAGCAGGTTCAGTTCCTTCCTGGTCTTGGACAGCATCGGGTATTCAGTCACCGTCAGGCCAAAGAGCTGCTCACCGGCCGAGTAGGTGGTGAACTTGCGCCACAGCTCGTCAAAGCGGGTCTAGCCAGGGAACCAAAAACAGAAAACTTTTGTGCACAAAGTCACTCATCTGATTACAAAAAAGGACTCTGTGTATGAACTACTAAGGCCTTCCTACTACAAAGACAAAGGGGATTGTTATAACGTTCATATCAGTCTGCATAGGAACCATGGTGCGTGTTAGCTACAAATTCTGTGTGCAGAAAAATGCATCATTTAGGTTTTTCTATCAGTGATTTCTGTATATTTTTTTGCAGAAAATTGCTGTCATTAAAACTCAGATGTGAATGACAACCTGGCCACCACTTACACAAATTCAAGAAGCTCAAATTTATGTGGCTGCACAGCTCAACAAAATGTTGCACCTTTAAACCTTGGTGTAAATTTTCCAAATGCACCAATAATCTCTTGCAAATCAACTATTGGGATCAAGAGAGGGTGTAATTTTCCGAGCAGCGGAGGCTCTTTTGATTGGGAATGCTCTTCACCGGTTCACAGACAACTATAAAATGAACACGTTATGGTCGCATTAATTGCTACCGATAAACGGAACACTCCCCACCAACATGGCTTTCCTCAAAAGATGAGGAGTGTCTCTGCTCAAGGCAGATAATCCAGTTGACCTTAAGTCAGCCTCCCCTACCAAAGGACAGGGTACAGGGAGACTTTGCTAAGAAGCTGGATATACTGCCTACCTGATACACTTGCAGCCTGTCACTGGCTTCTTGTGGTGAAATGCCCTCCACCATGGGGCCACCCTGCAATAAACCACAGCACGCAACACGGTCACAACAGGTGAAAATGACTCTCACAAACATAGTATCACAGGACTGTAAATGATCTGTACATGTACATGAGCTGAAAGTGATCATTATGTCCGAGTCAACTCACTGCAGCTGGGAGGACTATATATCAATCAGGGTTCTCACAGAAATCTGGAAACCAAATTCCATGACCTTCAAGGACTTTTCAGAACTAATATGTGACAATTTCTATGACACTAAAAGAGGGGGCTTGCCGTAACACTATATGGATAGATCTCTTTTATGCAAGAGGTATGGTTCTGATAAGAACCAGTCTCCACTGCTGAGGACGACCAGAACACACTGGTTGAACACAGCACACTGGTCCGGGACACAGTCAACAGTTCTTATCAGAACCATACCTCTTCCAATAAGAGATCTATCCACATGATGTCACCACAAGCCCTCTCTTCAGTGTATCTCCACCATGCAAAGCTTCAAGTCTGGTCTAATTTCTATGACATTTAACAACATTTTGATGAGAAAAATGTTTGGGTATGAACTGGAAGACTGCCAATACCACAACTACAGGCTGACAAGAATAGCTTGTAAAGTTGTCATTCAGTTTATATCACATCACAAGAAGCACATAAAAAATAACCATTACGTGATCATGATTTCCAAGACTTTGCCAGGACTTTCCCCTCCTTTAACAGGATTCCGGGACACCCTATTCCCCCCCCCATTTTCCACAAACTTCCAGGACAGCATTTTTCCAGGATTTTCTTCCATGATTTTCCATGATTGTGGAAAATCTGATGCAAAGTGGTTGCAGCTGCTGGCCAGAGACCTCCCTAGACACACAAGTTATTTCCTGCTGCAATCACAAAATTCAGACAAATCTAGCCTACACAATGTGAAAGGTCCGATCACTAGATGTCAATGTACCGTTTCCTGGAGGTCGGCAGTGGGCAAGCATTTAGTAAGCCACTGCAACACAATACGTTCTAGTCTAGAGAGTGAGGCTTATTTTCATGTGAAGTAATGGTGAAGTCTTTGTAGAATGGCAAAATGGGTACCTTTGGGGCTAGGTATGCCTGTCAGTATTGTGTTGATCCAGCACTGTGTGACGCTTTGCCCTTTCCTCATAAATTTTTACCATTTGTGAACCCTGGAGGTTGATCTACTATCTAACTACTGTGCGCAACACCAGGGTCTTTGCATGTGACAATGGTGGATGTGTGTTGGATCGCATGACTCGTTGAATGCAACCAATAAAACGATCACAAGTTGTCCACTGGTGACAGGGTCCCCGCACACTTCCTTCGGTGAATTACAGTGTGATACTCTCAAACTGTTTCTAAAATATCTGACATACCGTGTCGTAATCATCAAAGAAGGCATCGGTGGTGGTGGCAAAGACCTCTACAGATTCCAAAAGGTCAGCTTTGAACTCGGGCTGGATCTTGACCAATGTAGTCTGGGTTTTGCTCTGAAATAATCCCACGAATAACACAGAGTAAACCAGACATCATTACAACCAAGCATAAACCAAGCTGCCCTTATCTGATAAGGCTTACGTTGCCTCATTATGCCTTCCAAGCAGATGAACAGGTGATCTTAAGACTTTTGATATCAAAGTTATGTCTGTTTTCAATCCCAAATGCCAGAGTTAGATAAAAGGCTTACTTCAATGATAACTACTGTACTCTCGTCACTGATCTCTCAAGGAAAGAGATCTTATTCCAGTGATCTTTTATGATTTGTCGTCATTCACTGACACAATACTATCATTAAATCACTACGTGGCAAGAGCTCTTCAAGATTATCAGGAAACAACTTCAATCCAAAACCAAAAACCAGTCAATGCAAGACCGATATCGCTAGAATGACCGACATCCAAGATACGTGTATCTGTGAGGTGCACTTACCGCTTGCAGCGTGAGTTTTTGGTAGGAGTATCTCAGCGTGTCCACGCGGTCGGCCTCCTCTTTGGCAACGGTCACCTGGAACTTTTGAAGCATGTTGTAGGCTTCCTGCAATGCGAAACCGCAACGAAAACTCACAACTTAACTACTTGCACACACAAGACGTACCACCATGTAACACTTGAATCCAAATCCTCTATTTGTGTGCTCAAGACCTTTAAGAAATGTTCGTTGATAGTCCAAGGTTTCATTCATTCATTCATTCATTCATTCATTCAAGGTTGCATTCATTAAATATTCGTTGTAAACTATCTACTTAACATCAATTCCACTTTTACACCCACAATGAAGCCTTGAAATACGTACCGGTAATTTAATATATTTCAACATGAAATCCCAACTCTTACAGAAATACATATCAACATAACTTAAACAGCCCAATTTCTTTTTCCATCCACAGATGAATCTAGTGGCAATGGTAAGCTTACACTGGTCATCTGCTGTGGACCCCTCCAATGATGGTTAACATGAAGATAAAATGTTGTATGCAGTGACAGTCGCTCCATACAAAAGCCAGCACACCATTAAAGGGGGCCACCGGGAGCGTCCCGTGAAATGTCACAGGACTCATCTTTACACAGCTTCTATGGTATTTGTGCAACTGATAAACAATCAAAGCCTTCCCAAGGCTTGCCACCATTCTAACCTTATCCCTTCATTACATTCCTTGGCACTACTGAAAGCATGGCCAGAAAAAACACTGAAATATCAGTACGAAATTGGAGAAATTTCTTAATTAGTACCACTATTTCTGTGGTCCTCAAACGTTAATTAAGGCTTATATTTCTCCACTGTTAACTGTCAGGGTTATTAGAGGCCACCTTCCCTCCAATTCCATTGCACTTGAAATTGACCTCACCTCTATGGGGCCCAGGGTCATATCGATGCGTATCTCGTTCTGTCTCAGGTCCTCCAGGGCAGCCATGGCATTCCTGACGTCATCCAGGTCTTTGATGGGCCGGGCCAGCCGCTTGGAGTACTCGGTCACAAAGTCCGAGATGTCGTCCATCTTCTTGCGGTACTCCTGGTTCAGGCTCTTGCCCAGGAGCATCTTCCAGGCCTGAGCTTCGATGGTCAGTGCCAGCTTGATGGGATCTGAGGCAGTGAAAATGCTCTGGATGAGAAAGACGCTACTTGGATTGACACACAGGCCTCCTTTAACTTTTCCTACTTGTGTATTTCGGATTACTGTACCCGGCAGACGATGTCTTGGTGCATGTCTAGTTCATGCTGATGCAAATTTCATGCCCTAGCCTACATTGGTCAGTTAGTGAACCCTATGTGACCACATTTCAGCCAACCACGACAGAGAATGAGCAGCTATTAACTACCACACCTCATAGAGTGTAATTCGACAACCTGAACTAGAAACCATTTCTGCGGTGGCATGGCACTCGTGGACAGGTGGTACGCGTGTGATACATGCCTCTTTGACCAATAGGGTGCCGCAATTTGCGAAATGCACGCGTGTCAAGCTGAAGAATGTGTGTGAGAGTGCGGTTCTTGCCGGAGTTATGGCATCTAATCAGATTAGTCTATACATTCGTCATCGAGGGCTGAACTCTCACTGGTCCGATTCATTATCACGTGCCATGCCATTTTGGCTGTTCGCCTGGCACAAAAGTGAGGGTCCTCGTGCATAAGCAAATCAAATACGGGCTGGATCTGTTCTACAGGACAAGGTTAGACCTCTGTCACACAGGTGAAGTACGCATGAGTGAGCAATGTCCTTGGTACGCTATCTATCAGTGCACTACTCATGAACAGATGGCAACACAAATATATGCTACCTTTCCCTTGCTCCTGAAATTTTAGCAGCAACTAATATATATGTTGTATTACAACTATATTACAACTATATCATGGTTATTTTTCAGACGGATACTCCGTTGTAGCTCCCCTTGGTATTTGAAGCTGACAAAGTAGTTCCCTTATCTTTGCCTAGGGAACCAACTTTATCTCAGGAAAAGAGAATTCTCCATGGATCACTTCGGGAGGCTAGTTTTACTACATCACTTGAAGTCAATATTTGTATACTATCAACCCTCAAGCTATATGCAATATTCATGCACTATGTGACATATCAGCAGTCAAATATATCTAAAAATCCCAACACATGGCCACGAGCACTGGCTGTAAGACTTGACATGACTCCCTACTGACCTGTGAAGAGCTGAATAGCATCCACCTGCACCGATGATTCCAGCTCCTCAATCATTCTCTCCAGGCTCTGATAGCGAAGTATCTCTGCCTTCCACTCAGACAGGATGGGCTGCGTCTCGATGAAGGCCTGTCATACAAACAGTGAAACTCATATGGCTGGAAATCATATGAGGCTTTATCCGGCAAAAGGCTTTCCCGTCAATGTAATGTTGGCCACCAATCAATGGGGCTGTGCTTCGGAACCAAGTACCCAACTATATATGGCACAATTATCTCCATCCACTGCACAGAAGAACACTTTGTAGCTCTTCAGCCACTAAAAACAGAACTGTTCTAAAAGGGGGTTGCCGACAAAAAACAGGCTCTGTAGATAAATAAAACAGACATCACTAAGTGTTGTATTCGAGTTGAAAGTCACAAGTTCTGTCACAAAGCTTTTGTTACAGTTCAGTTAAACAGTAGGTGACTTGGCTTAGGACTGAATGACGTGTGGACTCATGATGCACTTCCAAGGACATTGTAGGGTATCACTTTGACGTGACATCAGTTGATGGCAGTTTATAGTATGGGTGCATAATTCATGTGCTGTACATGTACAAAATGCTTTTGCCCATCTTCGTTACTTTCCTTTCACAGGTACCCCAGCTTTGCTTCGACTAGCCGTCAGTGCACACCACTATATACATCAGCCTTCTCACCTTGACCACTTCACTCCTGTCTTCCTCCCACAGGTACTGGAAGTGGCTGAACATCTTGAGGGCGTCGTGTATCTTGGGCCTGGTGTGGCTGATGGCATTGCTCAGCATCATCTGCAGCTTCAGGATGTCTTTGTGCTCGGCGATGCTCTTGTAGTAGTTCTTGAGTTGTTGGGGCGGGATGGGCTCCATCTTGACCACTGTGTGTGTCATTGACAACAGAGACGCTCATAAACCAAGGGAGTGTGTTTCACCACTATGCCATTTTAAAAAAATGAAGTGTAATTTAAAGATGTGTTCACCCCTTGACTACAGTAATACATTCAAATACAAACTAGAAACATCCCTACTAACTTCTCAGCGTACATTATTAACCATAATTTTTTTATCCAGTTTAGCCATAACTGTTCTGTTATTCACTGCTCTGTTATTCACTGTTGTCCCTACCTTACTTAACCATAATAAATTTACCTATTGTTATTACTTCTGAAAATTTTAGTCAGTTTTGTTTGTCTCACTGTTTACTTTATATTTAACAATTGTTCTAGTTAAAAAATACTGACTTTTTAAGATACAACTACAGTCCATTACAAAGTTGGAGTTGGGTGGTCATTTGTTCAATATCTTGTTTTGTAAGACTGCTAGACAATGTCTCCGAAATACAACACTCAGCCATGGTTGCTTGAGGGGTCCACATATGCACATTCATGCACATACATATTCATGTTTAGATATTCCAGCACATGGCCTGGCACTGCAGCCAGAATGTGTTATGGCGCCCTCTATAATATGATGTGAGAAATCCCTGTTTCTTTACACATCATCAGGTGCAAATTGGTTAAGGATTTTTCCTAGGGTTTATTGTAGGCCTACAATACAACGTAGAGTAATTGGTGACCATAATCCACAGATGTCTGAAGGGCAACTTTTAGAGGGATTTGGTTTCATTCACATTAGAGAGGGAGCAAACCAAGCTCGTTTCATACAACATTCAGTGCGGCATCCTGATGAACATGGACAATATTCTCGCTCCCCCCCCCCAATTTTTTTTTTACACAGATTAGTCGTTTGCTACAGGTGTTTTTCCTGCTCTCTGGTATCGTTTACGGCCCTGGTTGTTTGACAAACCTCAGATGTTTCTCATCAAACACATTTTAAATCCTAATGGAGCAATTTCACTTGCTCGAACCGAAGAACACGCTATAAAATTTGTGCCGGTTGTCTTGATTTCACATCATATGTGGATTACAGAGTTTTGGGCAAAGGTTAATTGCTCGCATTCACAAGAACTGTTGATTTTCATCAACAGAGAATTGGACTGCTCAAAGACCCTGTGAGATAACATCAGAGAGTCCTTGGCCCTTTGTCAAACCTCAGAAGTGTTTCTGGCTTTGGACCACAAACCCGCAGAGGCCATTAAGCGACAAAGCAATTAAAACAATTCTCACACACTACAATACCTAATTTCTCTCTGACAGAGAAAGGACATGCACTGAGCAAGTCAAGACTTTAAGTCAGGGGCTTAGAAAAGAACCATGAATCTGATGAGGCCAAGGCTTCACCCAAAGATAATGGCTGTGGCTGGGAACGACGTATGTAGATATGAGACGCCACTGGCTTGCGGCTACAGCCTCTTCCCACTGATGTCTGCATCTCCAAGCCACAGCCAGTCAATTTCAACACAGCCTGATGATGAAAATGAAGCCAAGGTTGAGCAGTAGTAACACTGTAACCAAGGCAAACAGTGCTCCATTACCTGATGCTGTCACTTTGCCTTTACACACGTCGATGTGAGAGGGCTGGAAGTGACTGGACATCGGGGACTCTCTGACCAGGAAACGCTTCTGGCCCCACTGGGCTACACCTCGGCTGACCTCCAAGACGCAGACGGTGGCTTTGTTCAGAGCCTGCTGTATGTCGTCGAGGCTGGGTTTGATCACCTGAAATGATCAGACACTTTCTTAGAGCAGTGACCAGTACTGTTACAAAGTCTTTCTAAATCTGAAGTCATATTTCAACAAGTCAAGTCACAAGTCCATTTTTCTCTAGTCAAGTGAAGTCATGAAAATCTTACTTGTTTGCCTCACTTTTTCCATCAAAATATGCTGTCATTTCTAGCTGTAAAACATCACTATACTGAAAACAGGCAGGCTTGCTTTCTCACACAGGAAATCAGGAATTTTGCACAGATGTATTTGATCTTGTGTTTACTTTCACAAAGGTTGGCATTGTTAACAAGTCAAATTCATTTCAACTTAAGTTGCAATCCATTTGTTTTTCAAGTCATGTCACAAGTCTGAAATATTAAAACTTGTTTCCAAGTCAACAATTCCAGCCGACACTAATAACAAGCACGTACACAAGCTTACAACTTGTTGTAAAAATGCTTTCATGTTAACCCCCCCCCAAAAAAAACCAACATAGGTGAGTTTTTGTGTCCATACCACGTTGGGAATCTCCAGTGCTACACTGACTTGGAAGAATGGTGACCTCTTTGCTGTATGTCTGATACCAAAGCTGAGTCCACTGCCTCCTATGGGTCTGTAGACAGAGAGGAAACATTTCAGAGAGAAGTGGTACACAATGTGTTGTCATACATGTACATGTACCTGTCTTGAATACTGTTTGTTTGTTATTTGGGGTTTTTTTTTCAATGCCCCAGGGCGTGACAGGGCAACAAAAAACCATGTCACACTCACTATTAGACACCAAACCTTGTATGGTATCAAGCACACACAGGCAAGCATACATTCACCTCAGGATAATGCAGGGACTGCGAACCTCTCATGTTCAAAGATTATTGCTAAGGGTGCTATGCATCCCTCAACTACATGTACATGTACACTATACCAGTATTCAAAATGTCATATCCCACATCAGAGCAGTAAACAATTATTACTTTTTAGAAACTATGTTCTTAGCTTTGAATGTCCAGCAAAGCTTGGCATATAGCTATGTTTTAATACCGTTGAAGATCCAACAATACCTGTGATATGGGAGGAGGGAATTTTGACAGTGACCAATTTTACCTAACCGAATTCTAAAAGTGTGGCATTTTCGTGTCGCTTTGTTACACCTGACACGTGTCATTTGACACTCTGACATGAAAATATCACTGAAATTATTTTCTAAGTATTTTATTAACTGGAAGGTAATTTGCATTAGGGTAGTTCCAGAAATTGAGGGTCCAAAAGTGCAACATTTTTGTGTCCCTGTTACATGTTACATCTGTTGATTCTGTCCTTCATGTGACATGGAAATATCACAGGAATTGATTTCAAACTATTAGTATTTGTTTAGCAGGAACTTTGCAATAATTCATCACGCTTGGAATTTAGGAAATTTGCATTCTGAAGGTACAAAATCATATGTCAGATGTGACAGGGACGCACACAAAACTGAACCCTTAATTTCTGGAATTACCCACTCCGGGAAATCAAAGTATGCGTTTTACATGTACATGTAAACGTCCCAAATCAAAGGTCAGATGTGACAAGGATGCCAATAAACTACTACTAACAAACACTACTTGGGGGCATCCCCCAAACCTTTTTTGGAGGTCCTATGGTACGGTGGGGCTTAACCCTAACCCTCCTCAAACCTTCACCTGTTGGAGGACTGAGGAGGGTTAGGGTTAATAGATTGGCCTATTAATGGCTCATGCCTGATGGTCTAATAACTGGCCCCCACTTTGAAAATCATTCTGCCATCGGTGAACCATGCTTGTAAAATGTTAACTGTGCTCCTTTGAAAAAATACAATGCATGGGCAGTAGAAGATACGTCACTGACTGACGCCTTTATAAATAAAATCTGAGGTTGGCTGTCATCTTATCGTATGCAGGAGTCAAAACGTAAAGGTCTAAAACACGACCAACAGAAAAGACAAGAAAGCAGAAAGGGGCCAATGGCAATGTGCAAATGTTATGGCTACAGCTGTAAATAACACACACGCCTATGGGAGCCAATAGTTTGTGGCTGCGGTTACTTACCATAGACACGTGTGTAACTCCGAGCCGCAGCCAATCTAATTGGACACAGCCAATTCCATTGCCCAAACATGAAATAAACAGGGTCCAGCTTCATGGAGCTGTTTAACAGTCAGTAGAAAAGTCTCGCAACAGAGAAAACAAAATGGAATAATTTCCTAACCTCAAGCACCATTTCATGGTGGTGTTTGGCCTACATGTACATGTAGTTGTGCGTACAAATGGTTGCACGCACGTTGTGATTTCCATTATGTTAAGCAAATTTTCTCTCCAACAGTAAGCGTGGCTTTTTACCTTGCTTACTGCTCATGGTGTCCATGACATGCATGGAGCCCCTGTTAGCGTAAAATTGTGTGCTTTGCAGCGCCATAAACTTGGGCCCAGATGGTTATTGCAAGCAACAAACAGAATCCTGAGAACACAGGCTCAGAGGAGCAGCGCGCAGTACAGAGAGATGAGATCACAAGAACTGGCCTGGGATGTGACGCAGACCAAGCGAAGAGGCCTTCCTTCATCAGAAGACAGACGTAAGATCACCAGCAACAAAGGATATTATGCTAAGACATTCAGGCAATGGAGGGACGCCAGCTACAAAACAGCAACAGAACTCACGTGGAGAAGAAGACCCTCCTCTTGATGTTATCCAGGGACTGGCGAGTGGCCTTGAGCAAGGCCTCCAGCAATCGCTGGCCGAAGTGCATGATGAGCTCCTGGCATTCCTCCTGCAGCTGAGCCTCCTCCTCCAGGCTCTCATTGCTGGCCAGACTGAACTCTGACTCCCGCTGGTGGTCGTCCTCCTCAGCCTTCTGCCCCTCAGTCTTCTCCTCTGATGATGTTATAGAGAATTGAATGATAAACTAAGCGTGAATTCATCATTACAAATCCTACTGCCCAATCCCACTGTCCGATCCTACTGGTCGAGAGCCCACCACGTGGGTGGTTTTCTGCAGATGATGGAACAAATAAATGGCTTAAATAGCCTTGAGGTTTAAACAAGTTTGACTTCTGTATTGGACTCCGACTCTCATACATGACAATGACTGATGCCCCATATGCACATGTAATACATCTCATGAGTCCCTATTTCATAGGGTCCAAATTTCACACTGCATCAGCATTGCTGGGATCTGCACCGCATCATGCCCTGTGCACCACCTGCATCTCCGTTTAAGGAGGTGTTAGTACTGCGCATGTGGGACAAACTCCAGCTTGAGGGATGTTTCACAAGGCATCAGGTAAACTTGATCAACAAAATCAGTGGGAAAATCTGAATTTTTCAACTTTGATTTTTCTTTTCAGGAAATAGGTAAGTAAATGGGAACAGGTGTAAGCAGCCTATGTGGATTCCCACAAAAATCTACTTCCCTGACTTTTCCAGGATTTTCACAGACTATATGGTAATTTCCATGAAATTTAACGCCAACTTGGTATTATGATCTAGCAGACTGCCATCGCCACTACTCTAGACTGACAAGGACAGAATGTCAATTTAATCATCATTCCATTATCACAAAAGGGCCGATCCAATGTAACCCTTGCATGATCCTGATTTTCATGACTTTTCCATGACTTATTTCCTTCTGATAACAGAATTTTAGGACACTGTATTTTCCCCCAATGTTCCACGACTTTTCCATGACTTTCCAGGACAACTTTTTCACCAAGGATTTTCCATGACCATGGGAACCCTGTGTTAAACCTTGAGCCCTTCAATCAACCCAGCTCCTCCATACATTTCTCTTTTCATTTCTTCACTGGCTAATCAAAAGAACTGTGGAGTGCTTGGCAGCTTCAGTCAGGACAGGGAGAGACAAGGCCGGTCGGTATCAGGGAGAGTGTTGTGCATTATTACTGACAAAGCTGCGATCCCAGGGGATGGGGGGTTATAGGGAGTCCTACAGTTAGCTCTAATTTCACAGACAACTAATTCCACTGACGCGGGTCTAGAGACAACCAACCAACTCTTGTCAATTAAATAAAACAGCTTCGTGTTAAGTGTTCATCAAGCAGTTGTCTGATCATCATGTAAACTTTAATGTCACAATCACTTGGGTGCAAAGTCCAACTGATTCTGGATTGTACCGCACTACAAACTAACATCGGCCTCGCCGCTTTTTCATTATTCTTTTGTCATACTATTGTGTCCTCTTTATGGATGATTTTTTCCAGAGGATAAAATCAGTGTTGGCCTACTCATCTGACTGATAGATTTCTTTACAAGAAATTTTTTTTTCTCCTAGACCTTTGTTGTTGGGCACGGAGTGGCAGTTGATGACAAAGTCCGTTTCACCTGCATGAGGAAACTCGGTCCACACATTGATGAATTGATGAATGGATGACTGCCCAAGAGACCCAATATCCTTTCCTCCTACACTCTAAGTAATTCATTAAACCATCCTCCCAACGTCCCTCATTGGTGATCCTAAGAGCCCCCTTTTTTTTACTGTGAACAGCTGACACCACGAGTTCCACCCCCACAGTTTGACAGACGACATGTGGTTATACATCACCTTCTGGGGCCTGCTCCTGCTTGTGAGTTGTCTCCCCGGGTCGCTGGTACCCGGTCACTCGGTGCGCTTTCTCCACAAACAGATCGACCAGGTTGGTGGCAGCGTCTTCAATCTTGGTGCTCAGCTTGTCCAGAATTTTCGTCTTCTCTTCGCAGTGTTTCTGCATTGGGGAAGAAATGGAATGATTACTTTCCTTAAGGGGTTCAGTTATTTCTTGTTATAGCTTACATGAGGAGTATACTGACAGGGAATGTAAAAGGAATTTATGAGTTTTAACAGTGGGCTTTGCCTTCCACTGACATCATCAGTGAAGGTTGCCTTTTTTGTGTTTTTATGCCATCATTAGCGCATCATTACATGGCTCTTATTTCCAACAGCCGTGATTTGGCTCCAACAAAGGAAAAATGGCAATTTTTTTTTAGGCCGTCAACCCTGTTCTGGAATTTCCTACTGAGAAAAAAAAATAATCTTAAGAATTTCTAGGTGAAAGTGAGTAATTTTTGTTTCCAATTTTATCCCCCAACCGACCCTCCCTCCAAGTCAAAATAATATGAGAACCATTGAAATTTACGGACGCCCTTATAAAGCAGTCAGTCATAAATACTTCAGACAGTTTAGCCAGTCCTATTCACTCTGAGCGGGAACAACGGAGGGCACGTTTTTAAATAGCTAAGACGGTCCTTTGGTGGAATTCCCCACGTTTGTGCAGAAGTGCATGCACAGTTGGCTCAGGATACATGGCACTGAGCATGCTAAGCATATGCAGCCAATTTCTGTTTGATTGCACGGCATATGCACCGAACAGTGTGCAACAAGGGTGATTGAAAACTTCCCACCCATCCGTCCCTTCTTTGCTAGTGAGGGCAAACTTCAACTTTGGACAGAAATGTCGAGAGCCTTTCGCCTGGGTGACCAACCAACTGGTTTTTACTTCCTGGTTTCACGTGGAAATCGGATTCCAATTTCACGGACTTTATATCCTTCATGCATCACGATCACTGACCTAAATGTAAAATTTCACCCTCAAACTAGCAAGTGCAATGCAAGTAATGAGCTGGTAAATTTATGGAGAAATGAAATGTTTCCCTCTACAATCTCTATGCACCACACACAGCAGTGCATTGTCAGGCTGTGTGCATGGTGCACACGCTATCGATATGGCTTGAAGGATGTTCCACAATGCATTCATGAGGTAAAGTCGGCAAATAAGGTGTGGAAAAAAATTTGAATTTCTGACTATAGTCTGACTTTTTCACGAGGTGTGCTCCTGAATGGGAATAACAGTGTGTTTGAGCAGCTACCAGTCCATGTAAAAACAAGTGCATTTAAAATCAGATAGGGGCCTAGCTAGCGACAATAATGGACTCAAGTGAAAACCAATCCATTACCCTGTTATTCCCTACATGTTATTAACAGCAGCGACTGTTACCTGTATGCGTGTCCTGTTGGACAAGGTAGGCCAAAGTAAGATTCTCCGACTGACAGCTCATTTCTACGAAGTCTTTCTCTCCCCCCAAAAAAAACCAGCAAGAAAAGTGATACCAAGCTTGGACCTATCACAGCTTTAGCCGTGAAGAATACAAACCAAAGGGATTGATGTCACATTTATACTGTTCACGGCACAGAGAGAAAATGATTTTATGGCTCGCAGTGTGGTGAACAGTGTTGGCACCAAAATGTCTGCTCCACGGACGTGAGCAGCTACAGTCCTGATATTTTAAAGGCTCCAACATTCAGCAAACCTACGTGACTTGCTCCCACAAAATGAGTCTCAGTTTTAGTTTACATGTACCTGTACATACATACATGTACATCAGAAAAGGACATTAACGTACATTAACTTACATGTACATTAATGGACAATAACTTGCATTAATAGACATTTAACTTACATGTACATTAATGGGCATTAACTTACATGTGCATAATGGACAAAAACTTGCATTAATGGAAATTTAACTTGCATTAATGGACAATAACTTACATTAATGGGCATTAACTTACATTAATGGGCATTAACTTTACATACATAATTTAAAGAAAAACTGAATGAGATTTCAGCTGATTTCCACTGTGCTGGAGTGGGCCTCTGAACCCCAAACAGACCCAGGACACATGCAGGCAAGAAAATGATTACATGCGTGAGGGCACTGCAAGCAATACAAGTACATACGAACACTTGTGCACATGTTCACTGTCACCTGCAATGAATTCTGTTTAATAAGTAATGTGTTCACTATACCCCGTGTATTGTGGTGAATCTTGAACTAATCCGAAAGTGGGCAACAATCAAATTACAGCCTCATTAGGAGCGCTTCCTGAGGTTGACTGAGAATGTCATTCTGTTATTTTTGCGAGGAGGAGGGACGAGACAGCTGGAGTGCAGCGGTGATTAATGTTTGACTTGTTTGAAATGGAAGTTAAGCAAGTCAAGCTGTTGTCTGGTGCTGCACAAACAGCGCAATGAGACTCACTGCATTGGCTCACAAGCCTCGATCACGACATTTATTCTGATGTTGAGAGCTTTCTAAAGGGCCCCGTGATAGAGGGCTTCAGCTAGAATCAATAATGGGGTCCCGGAGAACCTCTGATTGGACAAAACAGCAGCCTCAGTACAGTTGCAAGGTGCGGGAAAAGATCTGAAGAGGAGGAATTGGCAATGGAAAATATCCAGTGGCTTTGCTCTCTCCCTTCGGTATCACATCAGTCATGAAGTCCACAGTCTAATATCACGCAGTTTGACTGTCTAAAGTGCCATCTTGGGTGGTGACAGGCAACTCAAAGAACTCTTTTTCTGAAGCGCCGAGAAATACTGCTGGCAGGTATATGATGGATGCAGTGAAGAAAATGCATGAACCGGTAGTTAATTAATGGCACATTAGGCTTGACGGCTCTCCCCGGAGCAGGACAAGAGAACCAGAGGAGAAGTAGTCATATGCTTCACATGCAGCTTCTGTAGTGATGAAAAGTCACTTCGGCTGTTTAGAGCACTGTACTGGGTTTGCACACCGACTGCCAGCCCACGGACACAGACGACATTTTCATCTCGTCCTTTCAAAGCACACCCTGTGCACAACTTCAACTCAACCGGTTCAAGAGACAATCATTCAATCGTTGAAGAAAATGCCGCTCCAGCTCTATGGATCACCCCTTGGTTAGCACGCTGTCTGCCAGCCCATGGGCATCATTTACAAAGCAGCTTTTCTATCCATTATCCTGTTTAGTGCTCGGCCTGTCAAGGGCACCATTTCAACTAAACCGATTCCAGTGACAATTAGTCAGCGCTTTTTTCCCTCTTCTGACTAATGGATACCACTAAAGACCCACATGTACATGTACCTGTGCCAAAGTGATCCATTTTTGTCAGTGCAACAACTACAAAAATTAATACAGCCACGTACTGCGGTGGTTTTAAGCCCATGGAAACAGTATCAGAAGTGACAGCACCATCACACAAAAATATGCACGCCCAGCTTCTTACAGTCTTCAAAGTGATCATGCAACCATCAAGTGTCCTGATGCGGTCAAGGAGTGGATAGTGTGCCGCTGCTACACAAAACAAACTCCGGTTGTATTGATACATGAACCAACAGTAGCCTTCATCTAGCTTTCTGAAAGAGTCCAGCCGGAGGATGTGCATACTCATTTATTACTCTGGTACGTGACCTGGAAACAAACTCACTCAGTTCTTGAACGGTTTTCAGGGAATCTTGAAACACAAACTCTTTATACAAGCTTTGGCCACTGACTGCAGCAGTCATCTTGAGACGACAAAATGTGATTGACATTACGCATAGCGACTCTGCGATGCTGACAGCATTCGGCATCAACGAAGCTAATTGCGGTTTTTACGCATACATGACTGTCTTCAATGCACAGTGCCGACACCATGAACACCACTCAAGATGGGCCAGGAGTCCTGGTGACCGTCATCACTGCAAGCATGTGGACAATCGTAACTCTCTTGATTTTGTTATTGAATGCTTTATGTCTAATCATTCTTCCAAAAGTGAATAGCATCAACGATGCGACCAAAGTCTTTCTGGCGTTCATGACGTTGGGGGACCTCAACTTGGCCGTCTTCATCTACCTCCCCATGATCGGGCTCTCCATCTCCGGTGGGACATGGCCGTTTGGGGCATTTTGTTCCGTGCAGGCGTGGATTCTACGCCAGGGACTCCCAATGAATATGATCGCTGTGCTCCTCGTGACTATAGATCGCTACTTGGCCATAGTTCACCCTTTACGGTATTGCACATGGGTGACGGCAAAACGAGCTAAGATTATCGCCTGCTGTACAGCCCTGCTCACCCACTTATACGCAATGTACTATTTCCTTTCTGATCGCGAGCATATTCATTTCAACAAAACCCTCAAGATCTGTGTATTCGGAGTGGACAACTCCACCACATATGCTATCACCTTCTCAATGGGTTTGACTTGGTTCCTCTGCCACCTTGCCATGTACGTTAGAATTCTGAAGATTGCGAGCCGGCATGCCAATCGCATTGCCGGGCAGCACAACGCTGCATGGGTCCACAACGCGTCGCCCAACAGGCGGTCCTTTGTGACAATCGGCATCATCAACGCCATACTTTTTGTGTGCTGGGTCCCGTTCAGCATCGTCTGCGTGGCAGAGGCCACGGGGAATGAGGTACCTGGGGTGCTCGTCACCATCTCCAGGATTCTGTTGGCGACTGTGAGCTGGGTCAACGTTATCGTCTATTACGTCAGAAACGAGGAATTTAAAAGAGCAGTGCATAACCTGCTAATCTCCACAGAGCAATGGTGTTCGTGCTACATGAGGGAATCTTGAACTTTTACTCTGTCGTCTAAAGTGAAGGTGTACAAATAACTCAAAATCTGTTTGTGGAAGCATGTATGATAACCGTTGACATCAACAGAAAAGCACCAACGGCAAATTTGATAAGACTGAGCATTTTGCTCATAAGTAAAAGGCGCAGCCGTGGCTCATTGCACTGGGATGCTATGCTTTAAGCCGAGCATGTTCATGAGGAACAAAACAAAAAGAAATTACGTAACAGTGTGTCGCTTGAAAGAGCAAATTGCTTCAGACGTATCAATTTGTCTAATCGTGAATAACAACAAGTTGAAGTAAACAATTACAAGTACAGAAATGTTGTAATTTTTCCATTTTTCTGTCCTTTCAGTTTCAACGCTAGAGGACAATCTACCATTTGCCCACGCAATTCTGAAGTAACATTTTAGCTGACAGGATGTTTAATGTCCACACAGTTGCTATATTTTCTATCAAGTGTTTGTGTGAACATGGCCATTCCTGAGCCATGCTAGACAAATGGGCACTACCATGGAAGGCTGCCAGGCTTTCACTTGTGTCAAATTAATTGCCTAAATATCCTGAGCCACCAAAGAACTCGGAAACAGGACTAAAATTGATGCTTGCGAAAGTGCTCCTTCTGGTGTGTTATTTACTAATTTATGTTATTTTTAGGTTTTGAAACATAAGCAGGCCAAGGCTGGAAACACACGTACATGTACTGCACGCCAAAGTGACAGGTGAAATATTTAGAGAATTATTGGAAAACAAATAAAAACAAAGCCGGGATGTACAAAAAATTGACAGTTTGCTTGACTTTATTTTTGCCGAGGAGAGATTGTCGAGAAATGTACAGATTGCTTTCTGAACAGATGAGGAATTTAAACTATGTTCACCACATCACTGTTTCTACCATGTAGCTATCAATAGCGTAGTCTTCTGGATTAAATACAAAGAGTTCACTTGCCACAAAAAAATTCATATGGGCTTTTACATGAACCGGTTTTCCCTGCTGAGATAGATTAGTCATTAAGGAAGGGTATTACACCAGCTAATTGCTAGGTACACATCGGAAGTACGGCACAATGCCTGCTGTGATATCCATCCCACTCTGTTGTATCTAATTCACTTCACATGTATTCTAAATTAGATGCAAGCAGGCCACAATGGAATCTTCAATTTCCTGTAATTATATGGTACTTTGTAAACTGTTCATGTTTGTGCATGTACGAGGATGATGGGAGGTAGGAAGGAGTCTAGTAGAGGTGAGTAGGCCCATATTTGATGGAAGTGCAGGTTGGCAATTAGCTAGAGGCAGGCAGATGCTGCAAGGGATTTAACTTTTTATCACGTTTGATTAACGTAAAGGAGCACGACTGGATTGTGCACAGTCCTGAGGTTTTAGCCAGTATCTGGAAATTGAGTGCTTTAGTTTTATGCTTTCAGCTGCATTTGTGCAACACAGCAAATGGCCCGTCAAAGTCTGCGGTGTTTCTTGAACTTGCTGCAATAGGATTTCTTGAAATGCTCTTCACTTTGCTGGAGACAGAAACGTGATGGATGCGCAGTGCTATTCATTTTGGAATACATATACACATATTTAAATGTACCTTTGGCCAACTATTAGAAACTCACAGGCAGGTTTTACATGCATCAAAAGCTGCGTTCATGTACACAGGGACTTACATGTACAAGTTTGTGTACGGTGATCGACATGGGCATCACAAGGAGAGGGCAAAAATGGGGGAACATTGAAAAAAAAACAGTTGAAAAAAACAAAGTACATAGAAATAAGAGAGGAAATGGGATACTTTACTTTAACAATATCACCCCTTAACCCTACTGTGGGTTTATCATAAATTAGAAGTTCTCAAAATTCCCCACCCAATGGGGAAAAAATGGTTCCCCCCCCCGGAAAAATCCTGGCAACGCCCACAGTGATTGATATTAAAGACCACAGATCATTTGTACAGGGTACCTTTGGCGCGGGTCACATGAAGTGAGGAAATTAGGGTTGGTTGGTTGGTTGATTGGTAGGCAAAACATTTTATTTTAGGGTCTTTGGGGGGGGGGAGTTTGGAAGGGGAGAACTGACTAGGGCCAAACCCAATTTTTAATGTGTCAGTGCAGCACTGGCTGAAGCTAGAGCACACAGAGCTTATAGAGCAAGCACTAAATTTCAGCAGTTCAGTTTGTTTAGCACAGGTTTTACACCCATATGATACCCATGTTTAGTTATTTTCCAGTAAGTGTCTGACTTAAACTTTGCTACCAGTACTTTTCAAAAATTTGTGGCGGATTTGCAGTGGGAAGAAGTTAAGACTGGAACCTAAAAATGCAGTGCAGATGTAATTTCTCTTGGTGGCGAATCCACGGTCACAGAACATGCATGCTGTTAGATCTCCAATGGTTACAACAGATCTCAACCTTGTCAAATGCGTGGGAGGTTGTACAATGCAATCACCTCTTCACCATTAAATGACAATGATTCAATCCTTTTCGTGACTCTTCTTGGACCAAATTTCTTCTTTCAGGCGTGACGGTAACTGGCTTACAGAAAAAAAAAGAATAGCTTGGATTTCATGGCTGTTATTCATAAATACCTCAGACAGTCTCCCTATTCAACAACGCGCAACTTGACCGTGTATTAACATTTGATAATGCCTACTGAGAAGTGATTATGCCTGCTGTGTAAATCATGCACTGGCATCTGAATAACGAGACAATTTAGTCGATTCTGATTGGTCAAGCGTCTTTGTGCACGCGGTTCGCCTCGCGCACACCAAGTCTACATAAGGAGATTCTTTTGGACAACTTGCACATGGAATATACCATAAAATGGACATGTCTCTGGTTACTCAAATATTTGACCTGGCAAAAAGCTATTTATATCTTTGGCTGATTGAGTATTGAAGTAGGTGTATAAAGCCCTAATAATGCGTGGACCTGTTCTCCAACTAGGCTAGTCATTAATCCCTGTGATGTATCACATTCACTGTAATCAGCTGTAAGCCAGCCACAATGGCACCTCTAATTGTACGTACAGTAGTTTTACCTTGTGAACAGTACAAAGAGTGATGAGGGAAGTGGGGAGTCAGGAGAGAAGAGTTATTAAATTTCACAAAATATTTAATGGAAGAGCAGGTGGCAATTACAAGTAGGTTGATGACGGCAGATGACGAAGGGGGAGTTGATTGCATTCATGTTTGACAGAAATACAGGTGCATGATTAGATTTTGTACAGTGCAAGAGCTGTTTGAAAACTGAATGTCAACATTGGCCTTAAAGAGAAAAACAAGGCATCCAAGCTACTATAGCTTTTAAGTTTTTCCAGCATTTGGTCCAAGGTATCCAAACGGGTCTACAGGTGAGGGCTGATCCCGAATCAAATGTTGGGGTGATCTATTTTGTGGAACAAAAAAACAATTTTTTTTTAACGAACGCTGTTTGAGAGAGGCAGTGCGTGGTCCCCATTGGCCTCTTCCCTGGATCGACCAATATGTCTTTGTACGGTCAAAACGATGTCCAGACACCCCTCTGGCTAAAACAGTGGTACAGCCTCTGAACAGGACTGAGCATGGATCCAGTCTATCAATCAAGGAGCATTAGTAAACATATCTAATAGGTGTGCCAAAGTAGTTGTGGGTGGGCCCACACCTGCTGGCTGACCTCGCAAGACCTGGCTGAGCTCTGCGTCAGATGACATGCGACCTCTTGGTGTCAATGCAAGGGATGCAGTGGACAGGGCCAAATGGAGGGGAGCCATAGCAAGAAAGCAGGCCAAACCCAGAACAGGCTGGAGATCAACCTGAAGGTTTGTTATTTATTCTAATCCATCAATTGAAATGATGGGCAAAATGCCGACGATCATTTAACCCAAGATTTGAGAGAATTGTAATGGCAAGGTGATCTATCACAAGTAAGGCACAATGCATGAGATTTACCTGTAAATCAGTGCATTCTACGCAGAACCGTTTACGCGCCGAATGGATTTCTGCATTTAGCAACTGAACAGCACGCACCTTTAATGGCACTCACCTGTGTTCTGGAGGTGAATTCTTCTACGTTCCATGGCTTGTCGTTGGGCAGATCACAAAGCAGGGTATTTCCGATCTCATCAAGCAGGGAATCTATCCTGGCCTCACGAATGTCATTCACCTGTATACATGTATATTGTTTAAATGTGAGTTACAGTAGTTGGTGTGAGTCACCCTGAATTTTTCTTTTCAGCTCAAGAGTCGGCAACACCAATTTAATTTTTCTATTTGAAATCTTTCAAAACAAAATCTGCAGTTTATAGAACGATGCATGACTATTTTGTTATCACAGGAAAATAAACAAGACAATGTTTTCCATCACATTCAAAGCAGAGTTAGGAAAATTACAAAGGGAATCTCACACCTGTATGTACTACTTTCATAATCGTAATTTATATGAAGAGTATCATGTGTGTAAGACAGATCTGATGCAATCAGCTACTGAAGATTTCAGAAAGGTTTCTAGACACAGAAGTTTGTTAATGAGCCATTTTGTAATAATTTTCTGTATGGCATAATTGGACAATATTCCACAAGCTGCGTTAATGTAATTCTACTGCAATGGGTCAATTCACCTCCTTGATGATCAGGCTGAGATCTCTTAAGGAGAAGCGGATGCTGGCGAAGTAGTTCTGCAGGTTGAGGGAGGTCCAGCAGAGCATGGTCAGGCCAGGCATGATGGCCAGGTCCACCTTCCTGGTGTGGGCTGTCATCAGCGGCTGGAAGATGGCCGGGATCTGAGCTCGGACGGCGGCGTTCTCGTCTAGCAACAGCTGCAAAGGTGAGAGCAGATGACCATCAGTACAGACCATAATTCAGCACAGCACATCCAAGATGAGCTTGCTGAACAGCGCGGGAACACGTACTTCACTATGCAGACATGATGCAGGAACTCATGCAGGCACAAATGTGGTGGAAAGATTAGCAGATTGGAAAGACAGGTTTGTGGACACTGTGCTTTTATAACAATGACTTCATAGTACTGATGGAATAGAATGGTTTGCTATTACCACAGCATAAAGGGAACTGTTAGGCTCTATCAAGTTGTTGGAAAGAAGTCAATCATTGTGCTGCAATCTGACAATCTTACTAGAGCTGAGTCAATTCGAATAATTCCCTATTCGAAGATTCGACCTTCAATTTGATTGAACATTCAAATATTCGTTCATACCGGCAGGCAGATTATTGATAACAATCCATATACAAAATCAGTTGCAATAATGCACAAAATAGTTCATTCTAATCACTACAATAGCTTTTCACGTCTAGGAGTATCTTCAGCCTTGATTTAGCAACATTTAGAGACAAACAACAATAGCTTCTCACGTCTAGGAGTATCTCCAGCCTTGATTTAGCAACATTTAGAGACGAACAACACTTCTTGTCCTTTAAAATTTTGTAATGAATGAATTAATTTTTGAATTGTTGTAAGATTTCTGTCGCTTTGCATTTGAGTTTGCTTGACACAAGCCTCCACAGTACAATTTGTCTCATTTAAAAGAAAAGAACATTGTCCCTTCGTTTTCATGAATTTTTGCATTCGAATATTCGAACTTGGAAAATAACATTCGAATCCGATACTTGATCAATCATCCAGATATTCGGCACAGCCCTAAATCTTACAGTGCAGAAAATGCTAACATTATTACAACACAGCATGGTTTTACATTTTAAAAACTTCAAGAGTTAGCTAGATTATAAAAATCCCCCAAAATGAATGGAAAAAATAGTTAGTGTACGATCAAGAGATGCCGTGACATGGCTTCACCTTGAGTGTATTATAATCGTCTTTGAGTTGTTCCTGTCGCAGGCATATGATGTGAGCTGCCTCGGGTATCTCCAGGTCGTGCTTGCGCATGCACTCCGATTCGCGGATCACCTGGTACAGCATGGGGTCAAAGTTCACCAGGAGTTCCTTGGTCTCGGGGTGGCGGATCAGCAGGGTTGCTTGCAGACCTGGCCAGAAGTACCAGAAAAAAGAAAGGAAAATTTTAAGACCAGATGAACTCAAAACGGAAAACCGAACTTAACTCCAAGTGAAAAGTGTACATATCGTCTATCTGCTACAGTGATACGGAGAGTGGTATAAAACTTGATGTACATGTAAGTGGCACTGTCTGCCTAGCACTAGGGCATTAATAATACAGATTCCTGAGTTTACTGACACACAAATATGTGAAGCTTAGGTAATAGCAAGCACTCGTATGCGGTGTACCGCCCCCAACATGCCTAAGAGATACCAAAACTTGATAAGAAAGCCCCCTTTCCCAGTTCACAACTAAAACCCATGAAGCTACGATCCTGAAATGCTCGGGATGGACAGCTGCTATGAGGCCACATGACTTTTGTCCTCAAAATCAAACAGAGAATTTAAAGGCATGTGACAGTAAGAGCAGATGTGCAGAACATCGATATCGTCCTATTGTCTCCACATTCACGTCCGAAATCTAGCTTTATCATACTATGAAACAGAGACTTCATGCTTGTTCAATGAGTCCTGGACACAGTTTTGAGTCTTGAGAGCCCATCACTGATCTCTATCCACTTGTTCTAGGAAGTTTTCTGGCTTTCTCGTCCAGTGTGTGATCCAAGTTTAGTTGCTAGGTACGTATCTGGAACACCTGCTGTAGAAGCCTACGGCAAAGTAAGTGCCCCCTTTTTCCGAAACGGCATGTTCTTTTTTTGCACATAGCACCTTCTTATGCCAGGAGTTTATTTTTCTCTTTCAGTGAAAATCGCAACATTCCAATTTTTAGGTCTTTGAAAAATCGGAAGAGTTAGCAAGTTGGAAATCTCCAAACAGGGAATTTCAACTTATACAGTCCCCTGAATACGTCACAGCTACCTGACTTGACTGTGTCCACCTGCTTCATCCAGGCTCGGTGATACAAGATCTCAAACTCGATGAGCACGGCTGCCGTGCGGTTGTAGTTACGGATCACCTTCCGTGCCTCTGGACTCTTTAACACGCTGCCGGCATCCTGCCAAGCCAATATGGGATAAACGTGGTTATGACAAATTGAAATGAAGGAGAGTTAATTAGGTTGGTGAAGGTTGCCAATGCAAACATGTTTGGTTATGAGGGCCCTCGCTGAAAATGTGGGTAAAATACACCTGCTGTAAACGAGGTTAATTTGCTTCAAACCCTTTACAGCATTTTCTCGGAAAGGTTCATCTCTTACATGTTTCCAGGTCAGTTTGTTAGTGTTCACAACTGCATGCATGCTAGGCTGTCAGTTTTTGAAACCCAAACTGTTTGTTTGGCAGTTTTACAAAGTGTTCGCACACAGTAGTGACATCTCAGTTTGGAAAAACGGTGATAAAATGCACCCCTCATCACTTGAAAAGAATAGAGAGGCTGGTGAGGAGACTATTCCAACTGGAAATCCCGCAACAAGGTTTGCAGATTCCAAAGAAACTTGGTTGTGTGCCCGGCAGCACAGGTGCACAAACCTAAGCAAACATATATCCCAAAAGAGTGATGGTCCCACGCAAAACTGTGCAATTTCTTGTCCACGTACAGAAGACACACTGAAGGCCTTGTATTTTCATGCACCATTTTGCAAATTCAGGACTTAAATGCTTACAATCTCCGATGACCGTGTTCAAAAGTTTCACATTTTAACTTGTAACAATTTTCACTGTGACTGTTCTGCAGGAACATTTAACATATGTAACATTTCTTGCATCAGGTTTAGGTATAAGCCAGGCAAAGGATTTTGCCAATACCTTGAACGATTCCATGGGTTCTTGGATGCGTCGGAAGAGCTGTCTAGCCCACGAGATCTTGCCGGCCACAGGTGGCATATCCCTGGGGATGGGTGGGTCATCCTTGTGCTGCATGTACAACTGAAGAACAAACAATGCAATCAGTGGTTTAGGATCAAGTGTTTTCCGAGTACTGAATGGGTACTTACAAATGCTTCCCAAGGGCTCCAGAGATGCTCAAGCTTTGTTGTAAGCCACAAGATGTCCACTGACATTGGCGTTATTCTTCGTATGTCCACTGTTGGCAAGAAATCACTCGAGATAACTAGTGAAAAATGTCCATACAATGAGTACAAAAACTTCACAATACCAGAGGAAAGACAAGGTGGTGAAGCAAAATGTACTGTCCTTCTCAGATATCTGACAGTAACAAAAAACACATGGTGGTGAAGAAAGGTGTACTGTCCTGCACAGATATCTGACAGTAACAGAGGAAACACATGGTGGTGGAGAAAGGTGTACTGTCCTGCATAGATATCTGACAGTAACAGAGGAAACACATGGTGGTGAAGCAAGGTGCACTGTCCTGCATAGATATCTGACAGTAACAGAGGAAACACAAGGTGGTGAAGAAAGGTGTACTGTCCTACACAGATATCTGACAGTAACAGAGGAAACACAAGGTGGTGAAGCAAGGTGCACTGTCCTGCATAGATATCTGACAGTAACAGAGCAAACACAAGGTGGTGAAGCAAGGTGCACTGTCCTGCATAGATATCTGACAGTAACAGAGCAAACAAAAGGTGGTGAAGCAAGGTGCACTGTCCTGCATAGATATCTGAAGTAACAGAGGAAACACAAGGTGGTGAAGCAAGGTGTACTGTCCTGCTCTGATATCTGAGAGTAACAGAGAAAACACATGGTGGTGAAGAAAGGTGCACTGTCCTTCTCAGATATCTGACAGTAACAGAGGAAACACAAGGTGGTGAAGCAAGGTGTACTGTCCTGCATAGATATCTGACAGTAACAGAGAAAACACATGGTGGTGAAGAAAGGTGCACTGTCCTTCTCAGATATCTGACAGTAACAGAGAAAACACAAGGTGGTGAAGCAAGGTGTACTGTCCTTCTCAGATATCTGAGAGTAACAGAGGAAACACAAGGTGGTGAAGCAAGGTGTACTGTCCTGCATAGATTTCTGACAGTAACAGAGAAAACACATGGTGGTGAAGAAAGGTGCACTGTCCTGCACAGATATCT